CCAAGCCTGGGCGCCCAGACTTGGCAAGCCCAGGCTTGTGCCAGGCTTGGCCCGTTTCTACAACACTGGCATTTCGTACGTGGGATTGTCTATACTGTATGTAACATAGCCAAATATCGGTCCGATATCGGCTCAATATCTGCAGAGTTTATCACCGGCTGCGGATTCGCCTTTGATCGAAAGCGAGTCAGTACTCATAGACTATATTTTTTAATTAAATTTTTAATATCAACTAATCTTCGTAATTTTTTTGAACTTGAAAAATTCACAAGCATGTCGACAATTATCAGATCATACCAGCAGATTATATGTAGTTGATTATAGTTAGATCGCATAATGATTATTAGCCTCATTTATTGCGACTAAATCAATTAATTCTCAACCCATCATTTTTTCAGAGTTATTATTCAATTAATTGCTAATGACTGCATTCATAGATCCTGGGGAAGAGTTGGTAAACACCACGTAGTCTTCATATATCCGAAAAAAATCTGTGACCATAAGATGTTTCAGACGGCTCAGTCGTCATCAACGCGCCCGACTGCGGATCACAAGGACCCTGGATCGAATTCCAGTAGCAGTAGCAATTTGTCAAATGTTTAATTTACTTGTATTTCAATTGCAGATGCGCGGTCATAGCGCAGAGCTAATAATTAAGGATGTTTGACCAAAACCCACATTGTTCACCATAATTTTGCTATTGTCTCATCTGTCAGGTTCATATGTAAGCCACACGTTAGTAATAATCTTAATCCTTCCATCGGGGTATCCTAGGGAGAAATTAATTTCTGAAAATTACTTCTTGTAACATTACGCTTAGGGAAGAAACGTGACCGTGTGAATTTTGATCGAGATGTGGCATGGTTTAGACACTCAAGATATTGAAAAAAAACCACAAGTCATTTGCTTTAGACTATGGAAAATCTATCGCCGGGGAGAATAAGTAGAGGACCGGACAATATAGGTGTGATATTTGCGGTTGATTTTCGAATTCCTCTAAAAAAAATTTGACCGCCATTAAAAGTCGAGCAACGCGACAACATCTCACAACAGCTGATCGAGGTCGGTAAAGTCGGTGACGATAATCCAGTGCTGGAAAGATATGGACACGTGTAACACACATGAACATTCATCTCACTGTTACAACCCCACTACTAGCCGAAGAGTGCCATGTTGCCCGATCAAAATTCGACTGTTACCACTGCAGTCATAAGTCCTCCATTATCTATGAACATTTTCTTTAATTATTGTTTTTCAAACCGGAAAAGTATGCCATAAAACTTCTAATTTTATGAGACAAATAATTTGTAACATGAATGATTTATTTAGACAATTTTATTTTTCTTTTCCAGTGACTTGCCCACTTGACAGGTTAAACATCCTTAATGATAAATAATGATGATAATTCAAGTTTTTTCATTGTTTTTTTAATAAACAAGAAACCTCAATACATCCTCAGCGACCATGGTGAACGGTCTTACCCCGGTCTTTTTCATAGGCTCATTCGAAAAAATGTGTTCATGGGGTTATTTTGAGAAAAATATGTATAAATAATAGCATAATTTCTTCAAAGCGATACTTGGCTGATAATAAACGCAAACATTGTAATTAGTGATGCCGCGAGATTAGAAATGCCATTTTCTCATCTCGTCTCGTCTCGTCCCACATAGAAAAAATAAAAGTCAGCAAATATAAGTGTCTCCTCTCGTTTCTATCGTTCTATCGACCAACTTTTGTCGTCTCGTAATGCCTCTCGTCTCGTTTCTTATGTCTCGTCTCATTGCTTTCGTCTCTCGTGGCATCACTAATTGTAATGGACACATGCATAAGGTAATGCTCCGATGTCCGGTAGATCATCAGTCGAAGCCTGCCGCCGATTATCGGGAAAATTGGAGGCAATGTAGGCCCGATGTTCGGTCGTTTTGTCTCATCCTGCATGAGGACGTTTACGGATGGAGAGCGCCGTCATATGCCGCCGCCACATTGCTGCTGGAGCCCTATGCGACACTAAGGAGGTGTGCTTCCATTTCTTCATTTTATCAATATCAAAAATTATCAATTAATTCAGAGCGATTATTAGTTAGTAGAGAATCGTTGATCCTCCATTAATTGATTTGAATCAATACTGATAATGTAAATATAGTAAATTATCAATTTACAAGATTTGAGGTTAGGATGGACGTCAGCTCCGCACGGGCGTCGCGCAGCGATGTCCCAGCGTCCCCGATGGGTATTCTTAACGACATTTCATAATAAACGCAACGCAGGCTTGACTCAATGCTTGTAATTCGCGAAATAATCGAAAGACAGTTGATTAATTTGAACAATTGCAATTGATTTTCATTCAGTTTTTCCCACCTTCATCACGAACACTAGAAAAATCATTTTTTATGCCCAAATAAAAAATCATTAGAATATATGTTGTTGAATCACTATTCTATATCAAATACACGGAGCAAAAAGTTTATCAAAAATTAGTATGCTACTGACTAATCCGTGGAGCCACACCGGGATCACCAAAAAGGTCTGATGTGTCGCCTTAATTTTTAAGGGAATCAAAATAAAACGTAAAACCTTCAAAGTTGCTGTGTTACATCCGAATTTCTGAGTGAACTCTAAATTTTTTGTGCCCCCTGTTCTATCCTACAGTACGGCTAGTGGGTAATATATGCAGTAATTTCTAGAGGGACTCGTACCAGATTGTAGTCTATGTATTGCACTCCGTGTATATCTGCATTTTTAAGAGTGGTTTATATGATTTGAAATGTCAAATTCCATCAACGTTATTCTCTGATAATTCCCTTCGGCAGAGATTATACACTGAATAAGATGGGAGTTTGTATAGCGTTCCACATCTTGTGACATCACAGGATATGGTTGTATAGCATTTTTGGAGTAGGCAAGAGGGGATCCAGGACGGTCTTCGATATTAATCGAATAGTTTTACAAGAAAAATCTACGGAAAAAATGAATAGTGCAGACTGGGATTTGAACCCGGGATCTTCCAATTATGCACCTCGAGTGCTCTCTCAACTGAGCTATTCGGTTCCTAGCCACTTCATTTCAAATTTCTTGTTCATATCGAGCCGCATTGTCCTGCCTACGGCAATCATCTTTCACTAAAGACGGGACTTTATATAGCGTTTCACATCTTATGACGTCACAGGATATTGTTGAATAAGAGCGTTAATGCCGGCGTTAGCGCCGACAGTTGACTGGTGAGTTGTATATACATGCACTTCCATGAAGAAGTTGGAAAAAACAGGCTAGTGACTAGTTGTTACACGTTGATCAACGAAATTCGTATACCTCCCTATAATGACACTCGAATTCTTTATGCCGCCATCACATCCACATTTATAACATTTATAGCCACACATGTAACATTTATTTCACTAGATTCGTTTGGATGAACTGTGAGGCTGTTACTTCTCGCGAAACAGACTAGGCATATAACTCCACTCAAGAACAGCTTTACACAATAAAACACGAGAGAATCGCAAAAAAACGAATAGATTTCACCTACTCCGTTCAAGTACTTTTATTTGCGTGGTAAATTCGCATGTTGTATATAACCATATGATGGGCCCGAATCATAGCCAGTGGGGTATGTTATGATCACTACAAGAAATTTTCGTAAATGAAAGAACCAACGAGAAATAAATGTCTACCGATATAAAAGTTCATGAACATACCCAGATGAATCAAATTAAAAGGAAAATGAAGACAAGAATCTCTAAATAAATCACCGTAACAATACATAATACTAAAAATACTAGAACCAAAACATCGTAAGAATTTAATAAGCGTACTATTAGTAACAGTGGGACTATTATAATTAATTTCTTCCCACTGCGATTAACATTCCAGCAAAAACTCTGTACGTCTCCAAAAACTTATTTTTTTGGCTATTATCTCTCTTCGAATAGAGCCAGAATTTTCTGTTACTTCTCGGTGCACGTGATTTCAACGTGCTAACAAGTCCAACTGTATTTTCACAATTCACACTGACTAGAAAATTCAAATGTTCATATACGGAGAGAAAAGTTGGATAAAAATTACCTTGAAAATCGTGACAACCTTTACTATACGAATGGTAATCGTGGAGCGAAATGTAATTTCGTGAAAAAATACTGGTTTTTAGTGCATATCTTACGATTTTTTAGGTAAAAAAATCCATCTATGGATGTAAAACTTATCCTCCTGTTTAGTAAAATTTCCCATACCGGCAGGGGATCGGTTGTTTTGTATCTGTCTGACGGTGATGGGGGCGGACGGAAGTGAATTTTTACCAAACTAGTTCGGTAAAAATCATTCTCCATTACAGAAAACTAGTACGAAAAATTGGAGCAATTATTCACGTTCACTGGGATAATTTTTGACGGGATACAGGCTAAATTTTACAGTTACGCTACAAATCACCCTCACATTTCATGAATTTTCCCGGGCCAACAAAATAAAATTCATTATTAATCTCGCACTTTTTCTCCATCTTTTTCCTCCGTGTACTCATGATGTATTATTGGCTAATTCGATTTGACTCACTTTGACGTAACAACTACCATCATATAGGATCCTACTTTATTTTTGCAACCACTGTTTTGCAAATTCAACTACTGTTATTCATTTGTCATATTTCCCTACACGGAGGAGAAAATATCAAAAAAATTACTGTGTTAGCTAGGTAAAATGGGCCCATTTTCACGGACCCGGAAAAGTTCACGTGCCAGTACCGGAATTTTCGCCGCATGCTATCGGAATTATTCCTCCGGATTTAACAAAATGAGCACATTTTACTGTGTTCCACAGTGATTTTTGAAAAATATTTCTTTCTCCATGTACTCAAAACAGGCGCTTCTCCCTGTATTTATTACTATCTTCACCAGAATGCAATAAATAAATTAATAAACAAGGTATCTATTTTGATAGCTCAAACCTACTGTTAGTGACAAATATTGCTCGATTTGATTTTTGTTTCCTGTAGAAAAGAAAGTACAAACCTTGAGACGTAAGCCCGTGAAGATTAAACTGTGGATGATGATGAGGGCTCCCGATCAGCCCTTTAGCCGCTAAATGATGTGCGTTAGGTGAATTGTTGGGTGGAAATTGTGCCCCTGGATTACAGAATCCCGCAGCCGCCAAAGCGTTAAAATAATTAGCAGCCGCGGCTTCCGCTGAATTGTGCGATAAGTCCCTTTGATTACTATGCGGTGGTGGTGTTTCAGGGGCAGCAGCTGGACTACCAGGTCCACCGGGGGGTGGTGATGCACTATCCTGTGATGATGATCCTCCCAAATGTGACGAATGTGTATTGGCAGCCGTTAATAACGAAGATACACTAAAATCAGTTGGCCTCGGTGCCGCCGGTGCCGGTAAATGACTCGTTGCAATATGCCCGTTACCCTGACTCGCCGAATTACTTATCGTTGAAAATGGCGAGTGTGGATTAATTGTTGGCCCTGCTGGTGCGGGGTACGCCATCCCAGGCCCCCCCGTCACCCCTCTGTGACCCGTTTTTCCACCCTCAACTGTATCGTTATTCAAAAATTCAAATTTGTCACTATAGCAATCGTAATAAGTTTTATCAGTATGTTTATCGCGATTTAGGATACCAGTATAATCGGCTGACACCTCTTCAGCTGATGTTTCTAATTCTATCTTTGGGTGAATACGCTGCGGTGCCTGTAATGGTGTACTGGCGCAGTGGGTACCCCTGCACGACGTGTCTTGTTCGAATCTCATCGAGATTAGCTTCAGTTTTTTTTAATGGAGTTGATTACTCTTCGAGTGACTCAATAACCTCCAATTTTTCCTCTTTATCTCAGAGATGTTTCTCCTTTAATTCTTATTCGTTGGATCTTTCTTGGAAATAGTTGTATTAAGTATTTTTGGAGCTATTCGTTTTAGTTTCGAATTTCGCTGTGGAGGTTTTAACTGTCAACTAGATGTCAATTAGCATGCTTACGATGGTCTTTTCGAGCGTTCTCGCGATATTGGAGGAAGTAGATAAATTTCTTTTTTGAAAATACGCCCTGATCTTGACGTCAACAAATTCGACATCTTTCAGGTATTTTTTTTTCTTCAATATTTTAATATAACCAATTCATTTGTTAACTGCACATTGTCATCTCTATTTACAATCCACTTTATCACTAATTTATTGGGTTCACTTTGTTTATCAATTGTCACGCTGCAAGCTGTGTGACTGTGTCACACAAAAATACTGTTCCAGATTTTGATTTGTTCATTTCATGAGTAGAAAATCCAGTGGCAGTATTACGTTTACCTGAGATTCATTCTCTCAAGGTCTTCCCTAGTAAATCCTTCGTAAATTATTATCGAACCATGATTCTCTGTCGAGTAGATGAAGAAAATTTTACACCCTCTTTAAAGCGTCCGACGGCCGGCGACAGTTGATCGTACGTTCGTAGCATTACATGCCATATCTCCCATTTCCAAATTACCCACACGATTCTCACAAATTAATACGTCTCAATAACTCTCACTTATGTCTGCCACAGAATAAATGAACACTTGCTTAATAGAATTACAGCAACAATGAAAAACCAAAAGAAACAAAGGGTTAAATCCAATGAGGGTAATCAGTTACGTACAGAAACACTGGGTTATAATTCTGCTTTATTGTTAATCCGTTATTCATCTCCCTCTGGAAATAATTTTCACGACGTGAAGTTTAGTGGCCGCGTAGCAGCTAAGGTGTTACTTGGGTGGCGCCGCGATGGTCACTGAGCAGCGCTAGGATTGACACCTCCTCCTCTCGCTCACCCCCACACCTCCCTCACGCTCAGGAGCGCGCGGAGGTGTTGGTGTGCTAAAGTCCCCGAGTAGTATCGCCTTCGCTACTAACGGCAGCACAGGGGTGGGGAGAGAAGCCCGCTTGCCACTACCCAAACGTTATACACCAGTTGTCCGGTTTGCATTGGTTGGAGCGAGACAGATTACACAACACAAAAAGCCTCGTGCAATCTTTGTGTCGAAGTCACCGGACTGGCGGGTGAGTGTGAATGTGTGTATGGAAGAGTGAGAAAGTATTACGGGGTGGGGAGAGGGAGAGAGGAGAATTCGAGTCTCAAGAGCTACGACGGTACGGAGCGGGCGCACGAAAACGTAGTAGGCGTGAATTCTGGCGAACAGCAACGCCAAGACTGAGATGGAACTTGAGCCGGAGCTCCTCCTCCCTTCCCCTATCCATAATTTACCGCCGTTTGCTCCGCCAAGTCGGCGCTGCTGACGCCAGAAAACGATGTAGCGCGATACGAAATAGTGGGGGGTGCTTCAGTGACTAGATTTACCCCCACCACGCATCACACATGTGGACGTGCGAAGGCGAATGTGAGCGACTTGGACCTCTCCTACTGCCCATAGCAGGGGCGATAATGAGGGCTCGACGCCCCGATTGGCGTTCCAGCGCCAATCCGGATGGCGTTGAATGCGACGCCTTTTCCAACGTTACCTTCACCCCTCTCTCTACAGCATCGCCGCGCTTTCATCCCAACACATTTTCACGATCTTCCTCTCGTAAATGGGTTGCGCTTGATGGTAGAATTCTTCTATGTATTGAAGGGGTCCACCGATTTGTGGACCGAAAATATACGATTAATCCCGATGTTATCCCCACTACTGATACCTACTTCATGGATATTAAGGGTGTTAACCACGAGTACGCCCATTAACACCAGATTCATCCCTACTTTCTACGGCTTCCAAGTTTTAACCCCGCGGGTTTTTGGGGATTATTCCGTGGACAATCCGACTCCATTAATAATGAACTTGATGATTTATTCCATAATCCATTGGAAATTTATATTACAACGTTCCTCAATCTAATTAGTCATTTTTAAAAATCGTAAATATTCCAAAAATTTACTTATCCAAGAACCAATTCGGACAGTAAAAAATAATGCTCCATTATTTCCCTTGACTGAGTCAATAATGAAATATATACTAAATAAGGGAGCTTGGGGTTCGATGATCGATCAATAATAATCAACGAGAAGTGTAAATAGCACGTATAATTGAAGGAATTCGTGTGAAAATTGACGCGTACAGGCGTGACTAGCGCATTGAGAAAACAGAACGTTGATCTCAGTCAGAAATAGCGTGATAGGGGAGGCAATATGCTTCTCTAGGCCCCGCCTCAATCACCCCCACTCCTCCAACACTCTCCCACTATGTTTCCGCTTTGTAACTGGGAAAATCCACCTTTCGAAGTCATCCCTACTTCCACCACCTTACTAACACAAGCTCTTTCGTTCACAGGCGTACACAAGTGCAACTAACTTCTGATATCGCGCAAGGCTTCTTCTACATCGTCGTCCTTCGCGCGCAGAGTGTCACAGTGACGCTTAGAGCGTCCGTGCGAGCTATTTTCATAGTATATGTGTCAGTTTATGGTCGAAAGGGTACAAAGCCTTTGTGTATATACGTGTCTATGTGTGTGTGGTGGAGACAAATTTCGTTATATGTTCATGTGATAGCTGTTTGAAGAAAAGTAAATAAATGAAACTATTTCGAGAAGTTTCTACACCTATATATGAAGAGGCGGCAAATTCGACTGTAATTATGAGGAAATGTCATTGGGGATGTCGAAGGCTCATTGACTATTGTAAATGGCTCTGAGTAAAAGACCGGATCTCTGGAGGCACTTGAGTTAATTAATGTGGAAACTACTAAATTGTTAGCACCTTCAGGAATCTCGAAATTCCTAAAGGACAAGGAGAGAGCTAAATTGTACGAAACCACTAATACATCCTAAATTGTACGAAACCACGATGGTTAATATTCGGGATTTGAGTTTCAATGTGTTGAAGGACAGAAGTGCAATTATTATATTTATATCGCCGTCCAGTGAATTATTCTTGAAACCAGGCGTTATGACAGTTATTTTATGATTGATTTTCATCAGCAGTTGCAAACGATTATATTTGAATTATTGTGTGAAAATATTGTTTTATATATTATATCATTTGCTGAAAAAAATGCCAATACTATTCCAGCAAACTTCGTAAAAAATATTGAGAATAAATTAATTACGAGAATTTCAAAACTCAGTACACTTGAAGAACTTTCTATAAAATTTATCCTCCTTGAATTATTAATATCAAATTAGTATCGTTAAGCGGGTAGAAACAATTTGGTTGAATTTTATAACATTGATCATATGAAACGAGAATTCGCGAAGAAGAAAACATAATGATCAGCTGAGTAAAGTTCGTAAAAAAATTACCACATAGCAAACGAAAATAACCCGAATTACATGTAAACCTAATCCCCACAGCCTCACAGAGCTGACTCAACCCCTCACAACCGAGAACCGCGGAAAAACACAAACCCCACCCTCGTAAAAAAAAAACATAAAACAAGAAATCCCAGTATACGTGTATTAATTGGAAAAAAGTATCTTATATATATGTATATATGTATCCGCCGTATACACGCGACGCGTATATATACCTATGATGGTGCGGGAGCACAGGATACTGGTGGTCATAATCGCGCAGACCGCGTCATAATCCGTGGCGAAAAACATTTGAGGATCAAATGGTATAAAGGCAAAACTCCACCGTTCGCAACGAGTGAGAGAAAAGGAAATACAAATGGGCGTCTACAGAGTAGAGTACACGAGGACCGTGAAGAGCCACGCCCATAGGTAAACCTCAACCCCCCACCACAAGTCTGTCATTCGTTGAAAATTGAAGAAGAGGGGATAATCCGATGGTGGCAAGCCATTCACTGGAGTAACAGGAGTACATTGATAAACTTTTTGATCGACTGAAGTCTATCGGAGAGGGAAAACTGGAAACTCGATATTAGTGAAGAAGACCTAAGTTGGCGATGGGTCAGAGTAAGGCGGGAGGAAGGGGCTGAATGTTCAGTGAACGAGGGGTAGAAGAAGCCCCAAAGATCTGCTCATATGTCGTCCGAGTCATGAAAAAGACGAACGAAGAAGAAAAAAATTGAAATTTTATGGTTATGAGTGAAAAATTGATGCAAGTTGCGGAACAGCTTCGAGCAAGCGTGTATACTTAGGGATAGTTTCATTAATGAAGAAGTTGTGGGAAATCCAATAATTTTTACCTTTCGATGAAGATTCAATAAGATAAGAAAGAATCTACATGGGAGGTTATTATGGTCAAATGGATTCGGAATTTTCGTCGTCTAACTGACAGTTTCAAGTTTTTGACTCTCGTAAGTACACACTGCTGGAAGGGGGAGAGAGGGGATTTTTACAAGTTGAAGTGTAGGGTGCTGTACGGATTGGATAGAATTCGGATCTTGTTGCTAACCCTTAAGTGGTCGAACAAACTTCGTGAGTGAAAAATTCATAAAAATTTGTATTCCTACTTTCAAATATATTGGACATATTGTAATTTTTTTTCGGTCCAGACTTATACCAATAAATTATTAAAATCTTTTGAAAACTCAACGCGCTGAAAATCACCCTGTTTACCCTTAAAATTTCCAATTTTTTTGTATCCAACCCACGTACGAAAAAACGAATGGGCCGAGCTTGGCCCAAGCCCGGTGGCCGGCCTGCCGAACTTCGGGACCCGTTCCTCAACCGGGACCGCGCCGGATTTGGTTGAAACCTGGAATGATAACATCGGGCCAGGTCTGGGCGCCCATCTCGGCCCAGCGTTGGTTGCCAGTCGTTGGCCAGGCTCAATTAAACATTACTTAATTACATGAATATGACAATATGGGTGATTGAAATACAAGTAATTTAATATTACTCCTCAACATTCGTAATAGGTTCAACGAGGAAAAAAAATCAATACCGGCATG